CCCCCCCTGCCTTGCGATGATTGGTCCACCTCCGTGTGGTTTGCTTGGTCCTAACATATATTTACTTATTTTTAATAACCCATCCCTGATGGTTCCTGTTGGGAGGCGGTCATATTCATCTAGAAACTCTACTTCCCAGGGAGCGACCCCGTTTGCATATTGTCCGTTCACGCACCTCCTAGTATCTCTAACTAGTCGCAGTCGCCCTCCGACTGCTGCAACACCTGCCCGCTCCCTTTGTACGTGTCGCTTTTCACGTCGTGCAGGCGGGCTTTGGCAATCGTGAGGCCGTGCAGCAATCCCCGGACGCGAGGGGAAGCCGCTGCCGCGTAAGGTCTCGCCTCACGCCGTCCTTGCCGTCCAAGGCAGGGGCGATGTGGTACTCGCTGCCCGTGCCCGTAACGCGAGGCTTCGAGACTCTCTTCACCTTTCAGGTCCTGTGTACTTTCTATTGTCACCCCTTGCGGTCGGTCCTGTGGGAACAACGCTCCGTCCTCTCGAAGTGATAAATCCTCTAAACGCGAAGGCATGCATCGAGTACGCCTCCCGCCCCCCGCCCCCTCGACCCCCTGTCTGTTTGCGGCAAACAACATCTACCCAGTCTGTAACGCGGTAGAAGTCGATAGGGATAACTCCTGTGACTTGGCGACCACCCCTAGAACTGCTCAGGATTTTGCAGCTGACCTATTGTGGGAAACATGGGGTTGCTGCGTGAGCGAAGACGGGGAATACAGATCCGCTCTATCCACATGTCTTCACCAAACCCCCTTGCCCCCACGCTCACCCCCCTCGCCTCACGGGGACTAAGTTCTGGCAAGACATGAACATGCCCAAAACTGAACAACCTTCAACAACGTGTAGCATTTTTTACCGAAAACACTCCGCCTCCTGCTTCACAGATCACCGATCACAGCCGGATGTGCACGGAGCACACCGACCCGCTCTTCAGCCGGCGGCTGCACTCGACCTGCAGCGTTCGAGGAGGGGATGGCCTCGCGTTTGTGCTGCACCGCGACCCCGCGGAGGCCGAGGCGGTAGGGGGGGCAGGGGCCGACATGGGGTACGGAGGGCTGAGGGACTCCCTGGCGGTGAGCATCGCTCAGCTTGTGTTGCACGGGGCTAGATCCGAGCAAAAAGAAGTTGTTGATCATTCGAGGGAGGAAGTGTTTTGTTTGGTTGTTATTAGCAGTATTTTGGTTTTGGAGTACCCGGCACCCTGTTCTGGTCTGCTGGGACCCTGGGGGGGACGTACGTGGGTATGTGGTATGGAAGACGGGGCTCCCCTAAGGGCAATACGTCCCCTCTTCTTATCTCTATCTACCTAGTTTTGCCAAGATCCTGGGTTCAACACTTTTCTCTGCACTTTTCTGTCATAACGTTTCAGAGGAAAATATGGGAAACAAACAGATTAACATGCTGACGAATGCGTTCTCCAAAGTGGTGTCGCCAGCTATCTCTGTGTTACACGTAGCGCGGGAACGTGGTGCACATTACTCTGTTATTCTGTCTCGAGAGGAAATCGTCGCCATCAGTGCCCGAACTCCTCCTAGGGCAAGCAAGGGCTAAGAACCACGACACACCTCTCCGCCCCCGCGTCGCCGACTTTTCAGGTGGAACTCGATCACCGCTACAACCCGGGGGCCGACAGTGGCGACCTGGTCTACGACCACGTCGGGGTGCACTCGGGCGGACCAGGCGGCGACAACTCCGCGCTGGCGTCGACAGAGCTAGCGCCGCCCGTGGCGTGGGATCTAGCCGACGGCGAGCACCACTTGGTCAAGGTAGTATGTGTATCTCGGTAGACTTGCCAGGGTATCCCCGTAGGCTTTTTCGAGGCATTTCCGTAGTTTTGCATACCTAGGGGAGAGAAGTCTAGCGCCGGCTTCATCGCACGCATGCAGACGTGTGTTCAGGCCGTCGACTTCACTATATCTCGGCGGGGCCTGCTTTCCCGTCGCCATCCGAAGCATCGACGAAAGCAATGCTTGACTTCAGCACTCCTGCAAAGCACAATCTTTATCCCCACTACTTCTCCATTTATCTGGTGTCTGGCCCACGAAATAATTATACTATCATCCAGCATTTTGTTTCCCCGCCCCGTCTTCGAGAGAGAGCGAAATAACGGGAGAGCGCACCATATGCATGCGTGTGCCACACACAACCCCAATGACCATACGCTTATCACTCATACACCCTTGACCAACATTGACGCCAGCGCAGGGGTGTGCCATGGTTTTTCCGCACGAAGGGTCCCTAGCAACCGAAACACTCACGCACGGCTGCATCACCCCCCCCCCCCCCCCCCCCCCCCCCCCCCCCCCCCCCCCCCCCCCCCCC